CAAACTCAGAGTAGTTGCTTTTAAATCTTTTCCTGCCTTAACGATTAAAGAAATTGTTGCGATTGAAGACATATCATTATCGTCCAAGGTTAAAGTTTTGAGATGAAAAGGAGCTTTACATAAATCATTACAATGCTTAATAGTAACATTTTGACAAGAAATCATGGTGAAAGAAGTCAGATGAGCACAAATTGACAAGGGTTTCAGAGAAATATTAGAGAATTGGAGAGAATCAAAAACCAACGAAGTTAAGAAGTTCGCATGAGGTCGTAAAGCAGAAATAATATCTTGACATCCATCACCTCTGTATAATAAATAAAATCCATTTAACGCACGTTGAGCTCTAATTAAGTTGACAATATCAATTGTTTCTACAGGATAATTTGAAGTTACATCGAGAAGGATATCCAGCCTGAAAAGGCTAGAACATAAAGAAGGCATGTGGCGAAAAAGATTAACAACGTTTGGAAAATTTTTACCATCATTCTCATCATACATATAAAATTGGAAATGATCTAGTCTAGACAAGCCAATCGAAGCGGATGAGAAGATAGACACATTTGGAATATCATAAATTGACATAGGTCCAATAGTTAAACCTTTTAAATTTGTACTTTGTCGCATGAACATTTGAAAGAGTGCTCTCATGATAGCTCCGATTCGACAATCATTATTTCTTTGAAGACTACGTAAAATGTGTTTTTCGTTTTCATTATATAACCAACTTCTGACTGATAAATGCAAAGATTCATAAGAGAGATCTTGTAAATACTTTCCATATTCAAATAAAAGATTTTCATGAGGAAGATCGATACAACAAGGGATTAGTTGAGATTGTTCAACTTTATTCAAGCAAGAAAGATAAGTTCTTATTAACGGAACAAATCCATGCATCCTTTGTAATGCAAAAGGTTTTTTCCAAAGGAAAGGAATAATACGAGTGCACCAGAAACGACTGACAAATAAACAACTATAGAGAGAGGATTGGTCATTTTGAAGATGGTTTAATATTTCATCGAAACATTCTGCCGGCAGAAAGCCTATCCAAGGCATATTTGAAGAAAGTAAAGATGATTTTAATAGATGAATGGCGTTTTTTTTAGATATACTCGACAATTGTATGTAACACGAACTAAACGTGCTTGCAGGTAATTACCTATCAAGGAAAGTCACACAACATTCAATGTGATCGAATTTGCAA